TCCACTGAGTAAAACACAGCAAGGTATTAGGCAGTAGAACCGGTGCCTGGTCACACCGTGAAAGAACTTGGCATTGAACCACATTGGGCAAAAAGAAAGTCTGAACAACTCATCAACTCTGATCATCTATGACCTTGCCTATCACTTTTTTTTTTTTTTTTTTTTTCACATTTTATACCCAGCCAGAGTTTTGCCATCACATATTAATCCACCAGAATTTAGATGAGAGAGAAAAATCCTTGGAAAGAAGCAGAAATGGGATTCCTGAATATTTTGAAGACGTTAAGAAGTAATCTTCCTTCTTAAATTGTTATTTAGCCAAGTCTGGTATCTTCTACAGCCCGCTAAGCCCAACAGTCACAAAACTTTCATTTGCTAAGCAAGAACACATTTGACAAAACACAAGTCACAAAGATGCCACTAAGGAGAGGAGATTTTCAAAATATATCACACATGTAGGTCCCCCGATCCAAATAATTCCAAGGTACAGTCTGGCGGAGTGAGGTGAGGGTGGTTTTGGTTGGTTGTTTTTTTTAAACTTACTCAGGGGTGGAGAAAATGACTTAAGTCAACTAATCTGTTCAGTATCTACAGGAAGTCAGCATATAAACACAAATTACAGACTTCGAAGGTCTCATTTTTATGATAAATTCTAGCCATTCTGTACCTCTTGGTTTTATTTTCAATAAAAAAAATAATGCCTCTAAGAATGGGTCGTTTCTTGGCCCTTCAAATACTTTATGTTTTTGTCTGTCATTAATACACCAATGCTGTGTGTTAGTTCAGAATGCTTCCATAAACTGTTCAGGTTTAGTGCTTACTTAGCGTATCAGCACATTAAACTACATAGTTACACTAAATATAACCAACTTTTCAGAAAACATTCAGCTACAAAATCATTGTAGACAATGTCAGAAGGAGCTACATACATATGGATTTTCAAAACCGGTCCAATAGTGAATATTTTACAGTCTAATGTTTTAGAGATTTTTCAAAGGTTTAATCTAAGTCCTAGGATTTCAAAAGTATGAGTTTAGTCCCGACTACCACCACTGATATAGTTCTTGAATTTCAACAAAAGAATCACATATTTTCAAAGAACTTGGAACAATGTGGTGAGTCAATGAAATCAGGTAATTTTTCCCTAAAGGAAAAATACCCTTTTCCCTGAGGTAATAAAGAACTATGAGAAGGATATTAATAGTTTTTCAACATTTTACTGACAAAATAGAAAACAACAGTGGAAAAAACAGCTTGCTTATTAATGTAAAAAAGTAGGCAAGTGAGGTCTCTATGGGATCTCTATGTATACACATATGGGAGTATATATAACATAAGCATTGGCTGACTTTAAAAGTAGCACCGTAAGTAAAAAAAAGTTCATAGAATCACCACAAATTTGAATTGATTTAGGAGCCAATACAACTATATAAATAGATACCTACCACATCCCAGCTTAAAAGTAGCTCAGGTTCTAAATTACTTCACAAAAATATATACTTGTATTTAAAACGTAATAAAATTTATACTTGGCATAATGAATTATAAATTTTCAACAGAGCTATACCATTTCAATCCAAAATAAATGATACATATATAAGTCAATTTCACCTCTTAACAGCTTCACTCCTTCACATAGTAACAGATTTACCCATTTGTGGGTACGACAACTTAAAAAATAAGTGCCAGAATGAACAAACATGGAGAAAATAAGCTTTCACAAGCATTAATTCTAACCTGAAGACATGAGACAGTCGTTAGTTTTCAGTATCTATTTAAGAATTAGTTCTATCATGGGATGGCGATCAAGGACATCAATTCCTTTCTTTTTAAATTTCACAGTTCGGATATGAGTAGCCTACACAAAGCTCCTAAATACAGTCTAAATACAGCAATTAGCAATCAAGCAAACATTTTAACATGCCAGAGGATTAAGACAGATTCTAATGGCTTTGCTGATCCATGTCCAGTTCTGCATACCACTCAAATCAAGGTTACTTTAATAATGAAAACACCAACTTTGCTTGCTCAGCATTTATAATCATGCCCTCCTCATTTTTATCAATAAGTCTAACAGTAACTCAGAAGTAAGAGTTTCAGTTACACACACGATCATGTTGAGTTCAAGTAAATTTTCTTCTGGAATCAAAAGCATGTTTGGAGATATTTTAGAGTTAAAATATTTTGATTGATATTCCTGAGTTGCTAAAAATAGAGCTGTATTATATCTAAAACAAATAAAGTCAAGTAGACCATTTACTGTTTGCCCACAAATGACTCAACCTTAGGAGAGAAAGTAAGACTAATTTTGTCCAGCAGAGATCTCGTATCTTACTGAAAACTGTGAAGGCATTAGTAGAACCAGGATAGCGGATAGTGCCTGACAGTTGATTTTATTAAGCTTTTAATTCCTAGTGAGCTGCAAAATTTTGCCATATTTGCATAAAGATATTTCACAGCTTAGAATGTTCCTAGATATATTTCAATATATTATTTCTAGTTCATTTACAACATTTAAAATCACAAAAATTATTTACATAGAAGAATATTAAATGGTTATGGTTCCTTTATTTTCAAAAATAGTTTATGCAAAATTATTGGAAGCATAAAAAACCTTCACAGCATATAGTTTTAAATATATATTAAACAATAAAAAAATGAAACTGCCAGTGAACAAAAGTAGTGCTTAAGCTTTGCTTCCTAACCTGACCCTAAAGGACTTTATTTAACAATCAGAGCATGGTAACCGACACTGCTATGCAACAAAATGCAAGAAAACAGGCTTGGCATACAGAACAACAGCAGGATTCTTTTATGCATATACAAATCTTCTACTTCTGACATAAATGTATACTACATTCATGGTATGAAGATTTTTCCAGCAGTGTCTCCTGGTGCTGGATGCTCAAGATGAAGGAAAAAGTTTCATGTACACTCAACAATCTCTTTCTTCCTTCGTCAGTACAGTGTTCAGCAATGACAAAGGATACGGACTCGTGGAGATCATAGAGGTAACATCCCCGAAAGTACTGCCTCCTGTCAAGAAAGCATTTTCTGCAGTCTACGCACAGGGGCTCAGAGACAATAACTGGATGTGAAAAAGCTGACTGCTTAACGTATGTTGCAGTGAAGAATACTGTGAGTTTTGCCTCAAGGAGAACCTTTTGATGCTTCTAAGGGGAAATGAAGTGAGCTTTCCCAAATATGAAATGTCTACAAGCTCCCCAAGAAAATCATAGCAACTGTTAGCGCTCATGAACCTAACCCTAAACTTCATCTGAAATCTTCACGCAATTTTAAACACCTTCTTAGTGACTGAGTTGACATATTTATCCTTCATTCTGTGTCCACATCCAGAGATAATCTTGCAGAAACCTGAAGTGGCAAGGTCTATGCAGCACAAATGTTAATATCCTAAAGACATTTAAGCTTTTAAGTTCAGTTTGTTCTTGATTTAAGTGTGGTTTACAGAAAAGACTAGCCAATGAATCATCTGATCTAAATGAAAATCAGATTACTTTTGGTAAAAGCTTGGGACATGGCCTAAGGATGACCTTATCCTTCCAAAATATAATATGATAAAGTCCAGACACAAATATGTTTTTTCCCCTATCCTCTGGGATGATGTGATTATCATAAAAAAGACCTTCTATTCCCATTGACAAAAGAAAAGAAAAAGTTAATCAGTAAAGCCACAAAGACAAATATCTTTGGAAGATCCAAATAGGGAAAAGTTTACAGAAGTTGAAGGTGGGGTTATGGGGGGGACAGAGAACGAGAACTTTCACTGTTTTGAACTGTGAACAGCATTAACAGGCAGCCCAAATTCTTTCAAGCCAATGAATAGTTACAGACACCTATAATTTGATTTGCATTTTAGAAAAGGAAAATGGCATTGTTTGTGCTGAACAATAAATCTAGTTTTTGCTGTGTAGTTTAATAAGGGAGGACCCTTCCTACATCATAATAAATGCTCAGAGCAGGATTGGTTTTGAGGCGGGTTTATGCCAATCATCCAGTCGGCACTGAGACTAAGAGGAATTGAGTTAGATCTAAACACAGGTTATTCTAGTGATTCCAGTGTGAATCTGAAGAAGGAGTTCTGAAATGGTGAAGAAATGTATGAGGTCTGGATATCTAGCCCAGCTAGTGCCATTGTGATATTTTTGATCAGTTTTCATCTGATTTTATTCAGAACCAGAAGTACAGAACGGTAAGCAACTGGATTGCTACAGAACATACGACAATGAACTCACATGCCCACGAACTACCAGGGGCTGAACAAGCCCAAGCCTCCCAAATATTCCCATTTTTGCCACCCAGTACACATGCTTGCTTTGTGTGACACAGGGTTGTACAGTGCCCCGTCGAGATCAGGATTCTGTCTGCTTCTGACCCTGGACTTAGGCATCCCTCTCAAGAGAACTTCAAAAATTTTCTGATCCCACTCAGAAATGACTTTTTGGATGAAGGAATTCCCAGTTGCTAACTGTGGTGTACTGAGAATTTCCTGAATCTGGCCTCACACCTCAATTATCCCTCTAAACTCTACCGTGCTATTTGCCTGTCCACAATGGTACTTAACTAAATCCTTCTTCTGGCTCTACTTGGTGTACAAGATTTTGCAGACAGTTAAGATGTACATTTTACCCAAAATGTTTGGACATTGAACCTAGAAGTCAGAAAAAGTAGGGTATACTGAAGACCAGAACCCCAGCTATAATTAGCAGAAGGCTACTGCACAAGGTGTAGGCCAATTGTCAGTTGTTTGACTACTCAGAAAGCAAATCTCTTTATACCTTGTGGAAAAAAAAAAAAAAAAAGAATTCAGTCTTGGAAAAACATTTAACCGTGTTGGTGTGGTTTTATAATTTTCAATTAAAACAGCCATTCATTCAGCAAATTAAAAAAACGGTTGTCCAAACAGTCTAAGTAAATTTTACATAGGTTTACTTAAGCATGGTATGTGCTAGCATGTTTGCAGCCAAAGCAATGTTTACCTCTTCTCTTTTTTTTTGGACCCATTCCTTGTGCTTCTCTTCAGCTATCCTTTTCCTCTTTTCACATTCTTGCTTCTGCTTCATCTTCTCAAGCTGTATATTCATTTCCTAATTAAAGAAAAAGTATACATCTTAAATCTGTGGTGAGCATCAACACCAGCACACTCAATACTGGAAATGGTGCTGTAGTCAAAACAAGCTAAGTACTAGATTTTGAAATTTTTCTTTCATTAAGATATTGCAAAAGATGGATGACAGTCAACAGAAATATTATGAAATACAATGAAAAACAACAGAAATGTATAATTTTTAGAATATGAACTGAAAATACATATTTTAATTAGGCTTTGGAAACAATTCAACATAAGAAATCACTCCTCAGGTTATTTAAATGCCCTTTCAATCAGTAGAATCTTTATTTGCAGCAGTACTTTTCTAAAATACTTAAAATTTACATGGTGTACTGCTCTGCATTCAAGAAGGCATCAAAAGCTAAGTGAAATATTACCCACTTGTAATGTTTAGTATCAGAACTACAGAAACCTTAGGACTTAACCCAAACTTATTAAAGACAAAATTATTGCAGATTTTAGTAAACTTTGAAACAGGAGCTTTATTTTGAAAATGAGAGAAGAAATTCTGACGTATTTTATATTTATAGGACATACAGTATATATGCAATCACTTATATCGCTCCATAGAAATGAATCAATTAAAAAAAAATACTAAGATGATAATGTGAGATGCCTAGCTTCTCTAACAATAGCACTAGCACAAAGTGCTATTTTTCAGTGAAAATTCATACCTTCAAACACAGATGGAATTAGTTCCACCAAACTGATTTTATGGTGCCTATACTGCAGTGTAGGTAGAGAACACCCTCTTCTTATGACACTGAATTTTAAATTAGTAAGACATCACGAAAAAATAGGAACCTACAGAGAGCTCAAAAAAACCCACTCACAATACAGGCATAGTTTGAAAATATAGTTGTTGCTGTACTGAGGCAAAGTTACAGCAACTAACATCTCCTTTGAGTTCTGAGACATCTGTATTGCAAGGATCCTGGTTTCTGTAAAAGGCGATGGCACTGTAACTACCTTAGAAGAAGCCATCCACCACCCATGAAAATGTTTATCCACACTTCCGACATTCAGGGAAGACTTGGTGCTGCTGTCAGCAAAAGATGTGAGGCTTCACAGTTATTTCTTAGGATATTAGTTCAGAATACTTTTTATATGTAAATGTAGTAATACATTTTTATATCACAATCACATACTTTGTTCTCTTCTGGCATCTTACAAAAAGGTTGATAGTATTTTTTCCCCTGATATAAGCTATTTGAATTGCCTACATTGCAGTTTAACATCGAATGTTTTCAAAACCTTACAAATTAAAAATAAACCATTTACCTATTCCACCAATTCCTACATGGTTTTAAGTAATTCTTGTCCTATGACTGCTCCTAATATATACTTAAGGGAGACATCTTCTAGATTACATTTAGTACTGTATAAATGCTATTGTGTGATACACAATAAATTGCTTTGGTTCCTCATCAAAACCACATGAGAAGTCCAGGCACAAACCACATTTACTACATGACACCAGAAATTGCTTTGGCTCAATTTTTGTACTTAAAAATCAAAACAGAGAGAGACGATTACCAAACTGGAATCTAAAGGGGAAGTCATGAAACGTGTGCTGAATATTAATGGATCAGAACATATTCCCCAAGTTTAACAACCTATTTTGGTGTTATGCTGACCTCTAAAAGACTGTTCCAGAACCTTCCAGTGGCAGCTGTTTTATAAACACCATGAGGTAGCCCACATAAAACAGCTGTATGTTATATTCACTTTACAGATAAAGTGAATCACAAAAAGGTTAGGACATTGCTCAAGGTCAAACAGTAAATCAGTAACTAAAGTGAGAAATTATTTAACTCTGATGTGATTGTTCTAGCCAGTGCCCAATACTTCCAATTTGATTTTAAACAACAGTATCATTTAATCAACTGCAACTACAAATATATTAATCAAGGAAAGATATAGCAGTCTTACTTAATTCTGCCCCAGCATTCAAGAACTGTTCATTTGCAAGGGGGAAAAAGATGGAAGGAGGGAAAAAAACATGCTGGGTCAGGGAAACCTAACCTGGGAAAGGACACCAAACAGTTGTATAATTACACACTAAGTGGGTAACAACACTGTCCCTCATATCTAACAAAGTAGCTTGGCATACTTACACATAGCACACGCCCTGTCGTGCTTTACTACCTACATGCAGGCATATGTACCCATGATGAAAATCAAGGTACCAATTATATAAATATGTTTTAATCCTTTAAACTCAAACCATTACCTGACAGTTGGATAAGCAAAATACTATACAGCACCACTTCAATGAAACATAACATTTAGCAAGAGAGAATGCATGTAGTATGAATCATGTCAGCACTGTCAAACACAAACACTATGGAGGCCCCAGACACAAAAAATAATGGACAAAACTGCTTGTGTTTCTGCAACTAAAAGAAGAAAAAAAAATCCTGTATTTTAGTGCTTACCATCTTCTTTTAGACTTAACATCAAACTAATTGGATGTATTTACCTCTGCAGCTCTAGCTTGTAAGCGGGCGCGTAGTTCCTTCTCTTTGCCTATGAACCATTCTTCCCATGGTGAAAGATTATCTTTCAAAGGTGATTGTTTTTTCCCCCCTGCTATTTCAGAGTCTTCAGCCTTCCTGAATTAAAAACAAGAAATATAAAAGAGTATTATCTGTAATACATTTAATTGAAAGGCTAAGCAGTGCTACTGCCTTGAAAAATTATATTTACAGTATACTGTGACAACGACATTATTTTTCTACTTGCTTAGTAATCTCCAGAATGGAGAAATGGCATTTATAGCGTACCTCTGATCATCCTTCTTACGTTCTTATTAAATTCCAGCTTGTTAGTGATTTTTCTTTTCTCCCTGTTCCAAACCATGGAACAGACTCAAGCATTACTTTTTATGAACTAAACAAAAACTAACACCAGAAGCATCAAAGCGTCACCTTCCTTTTCACATATGGAAACCCAGGGAAATAAAGAGATTTAACATTAACATCCTGTCCTTGGTCACAGAGAAGCTCCATGTAGCAAGTGGCCTTTAGCATGAGCAAAGGATAATCAAGAATATTTTTTTTCTTCTTTCAAGTCCTATAGAACGGGATTCGTGATATCAAGCAAACTCAGCATTAAGAATCCATTCACTCTCAATAGGTAAAGTTTTCCACCCTAAAAAGCTTTCACAGGAAACATACTTGAGAAATATGGCTTACATACAATACTTGATGATATTATAAAAGGTTCTATTAGACTTTTAATAGGATACCTTGCATAACTCACTTGTAACTTCTTTATTCATGAATAATGCAGCAATCCTAGCCCCAGGCCAGAAATATCTTTTATAATATTCTATATGTGTACTGCCTCACAAGTAAGACAGTATATTAGCCTCTAAGTTAACGAAAATTGAAAACTTGCCAATAGATTCCTTTATAAAATTTATTCTATCTTATACAGAATTTTTTCTTAACAACAAAACAATGAAACTAGACTTCACTTTAGTATTTTGCAGGGACGTATGGGCTCTGGAAATACCTACCTACATACTTCAGTACAGTTTGCCAAATTCAAGCTACAGAAGAAGCATGCAAACAAGCATATTATGTTAATGCTCCTGAAATAAATCTTTTAAGCATAAGTTACCTGTTTTTTATCAATATAAAAGTATTACATGTTCACAGGGAACAGCAATACCCTGTTACAAAACATTTTACAAGCCAGTAATCTTTAGAGTGTATTTCTGTGATACAAAGCATTTGGAGACAAGGTCAGTGCTAACGAGTTTTGTCCTACTCCTCTCCATCGTTGTTATCTACATGTGTGCGCTAACACGACCGTTTGCTGGTCAAGTCATGACATGTCCAGGGAACTGATTCATGCTGAAACTAACCTGGCAAAGGGCTGTTTTCCCCACACAGAATCAGCCCCCAACCCTCTTTATACCACGCTGCCACAGAGACTTAACACAACGGAACTGACAGAACTGCCTGGCACGCAGAGCGCGCGTGGACAGAAGCAGCGCAGGCCAAGCACTCCCAAGCCCAGCGTTGTCCAACACATTCTGCTGCACCCCAGGGCTTTTATGCTACAGCACTAACACAGAGCAAAAATTTAACAGAGACAGTTTTTAAACTGGTACGTGTAATAAGAGATGCAACTTCAGAATGCATAATAACACATTTTGTTAGAAAATAACTCTCTGAAAGTTTATTAAAGATAAGGATGAAAGTATTATGCATTCAAATTGAGGAAACCAAGGCAACTTTGTCCAGACTTGACATTTTGGGGAGGGATACTTCCTCAATACATTCTTTTGCTATGCATGATTTGCATTATGGCACTTTGTACTAGAATAATGCTGACATATTAGACCAACCTGAGAAAAAGTACTAGTAGAAGGAATGAATAAAGAAAAATAATATTACTATGTGTTTTCTTGTACCAGTGATTATAAAGTTCAACCTGTCAACTTCTCAAAAAAATAATTCACAGTAATAAATTAAAAAGTTATTGTATACAAGTGAAAAATAACAGAAAATGAAGTTAAACAGAGGACAACACAAGCTGAATACGAAGAACTGTTTGGAGAAATATTTCTCCTCTTCTGCAGTACCGTGTCTAAAGCTTTCAGATTGCACTGGATCATGGACAGGAATCCAGTCCTTCTCAGTGTGCATTCCAGGCACCAGTTGCACTCTCCCTGGCGCACTGATTATGTATTTTGAGCCACACAGACCTTGAATTTCATGGGACCATCTTCTGAAATGCTAGCACGTTCACAGCTATGACCTTCCTCAGAGTAATTAAAATAACAGACTTCTTAAAGTACTACATTCTCAAGGGCACATTTGTTTTCAAGTAACTATCTTAAATCGAATTAGATACACTTGGCATTAGAACTGAAGTCTGATTAATAGAAAACACTGTGATTATCATTTATCATATATTCACTTAAGTCACGCCATCAAACATAACACTGATCCATAATGAAAGTATGAAAATGCCCAACACTGTTTCACAAGGCCTTGTTTTCAGCTTTTCTCTTTTGTAAATATTGTATTTCCCACGTTAAATGTCTGCCTCTGGCTAATTTTTGTGTAGTTTTAAGAGGACAACAACAACAACAAAAAGACTCTGAGAGAGTACGTGCATAAGTGGAGGGGGGGGGGGAGTGGCTGTGTAAGAAGTATTTTTTATTATTATGCCTTTGAGATCTTGGCAGTTACACACGGAAGCTGCTGTATGAGCATTTGGTAGACACTTATTACAACACAGCAGCAGTATTATTCAGATCCAGAGTCTGGATGAATGAAGCATATATTATGCTCGCAGAGTTTAATGACATTGTTCCAACCAAGGCCCCTATCAGAGGTCTTCTTCAGTGGCATCTTACACTGCCAGGGAATACTGCAGCAACAGGCCCAAAAATTGAGAGCTGTTCCAAGTAGCATCTCAAGCTGCAAAGACATGTAGTAGTTTGAACTGAACGCTACAGAACTTTAAGATACGTGAACAAAATTGTTTAGTGGGAAGGAGTAAAAGGAGACGTAACAGAAAACCTGAAACAGAAGGGACCATAAACAGGCTAATACCCTTTTCACTCTGAAGCTTCTACTTCTGACTACAGTTTGAACGCTTTCCCCGGACTTTCAGCGCATTTTCCAAGAAATGCTTGTAAGAAAAGTGCATGGTGGTCCATGTTCCTTCACTGCTCTCCATGGAAGTTTGAGCCCCACACTGGAACTCTGCACCCCCGTGAAGCTCAGCTGTCCTCTCCTCACCCCACTGGCACTTTTAGCCCAGTTCAGTCTCGCTAGTTACAGCCACCATCAGATCCTGCACAGATCTGTTTCCACCGCGAAGGACGCGTTCCAGAAGGAGACAGGCACTCCCTGCTCTTCCCCCTTCTATTCTAAAAGGGAGGAATAAAGATTATTTATTCTTCTGTCAAGCACAGGAGATCCCGAGGGAAAGAAGACCTATTAAGTTTGCATATAATTAAAAAGGAATGAAATTAAGCCAGGGCAACAAGAACTGTGCCGTGCGTACGCACGAAACTGACTCCGGATACAGCTATACACACTAGGCAAAATAGGCCTAAGAACATTTAAAAGGATGACGGGAATGGCTGCAACTTTTTAATTTGCAAAGATCCTGAGGCTCTGGTCAACAGCTTATAGGTATTTTACAAACCCGTGAAAATACTCCACTGCCCACGGAAAAGACTGCCGTAACCTGCGACTTCCCGAGAGACGATGAAAAGGGAAGGAGGTGCCTAAAGCCCTTATCTATGCAAACGGCTCTGTATTTATGTGAAACAATCTTCCCTCCCCAGCCGAGGCCTCGAGCGGAGGGAGGCGGGTACGGGGTCCGGCTCCTCACGCCAGGGGCGGCCCCGAGCTCCCTGCCCCGACCGGGCCCAGACCCAGACCCAGACCCAGACCCAGGGGTTACCTATCGCCTC